AGAATCTCTTTTGTTTACAAGAGGACAAAAAAAAAAAAAATCAAAGTTCATAAAATAAGGATTATTATAGACACATGCTGCACATTATAAGTAGATATAAAAACAATATTTGAAATCATAGAAAATTATACCTCCTGACTAGGGAACTAAGTTGAATGAAATAAACATTTTCTCTGCCATACAAACAATCACTTGCTATATAAGAAAATCACTTTTTACATTTTACATTTTAGGAATTTTGGGGGGACATAGTGGTAGTTTTCACAAAAAGTTATGCAAAACACACCAAAATGGTACCTATCACATTCCAGCAGCTCATGACTATTGTCACTCCAGTTTTCTGCTTGTCCTCAAGCAGTTCTTGAAAGCATCATAAACTTTAAAAAACTGAGTTCCAGCAAATGGAACTTCTATTCTGACTGACCTTCCAGCAAATTGTTTTCAAATTGAAGATAAACCAGTACTTCTCTAAGTGTGCCTCAAAAAAAGGGCAAAAGATTTCATGCACCATCCAACAGATTTTGATCTACTATTTGTCATACAAATGACAGCCAGCTTCATGATAGCGTGGAAAAGAATTAAAGACATGGGGGTAACTACTTACCTTAAATGTTGCATCCACAAACCCAGGATTTGTTTCACAGCATAACATAAAATCATCACGAAAAATACCAATGTGCAAAAGTGCAGAGGAAGCATTTAACTGAGTTCCTGAGTACTTTCCTTTTTGTGTGACACTCCCAGTACTATTCTATCTCAGCAATTACACTCCTTTGGCTTCTTAAACCACAGAAAAGAATTCAGCACATAATATACACATATGCTCTATACTCTACACAGAGGAAAACTGCAGGCCACACATCCTTAAGGCAAAACCTTAAGGGTTAACCAAGAAGAAAAAAAGCAGCTCAGCCCAAAAAAGGATGCAACTGAACTACAGAACTAAATACTTCTAGTCCTTTCTTCATTCTTCTTTTATATGAATCAAAATGAAAAATATGAGACCAACATAACTAAGGACCACAGTAAAATATATCCCCCTTAACTACGTTCAAGCATGAAAACACTATACAGAATGTCCATTTGTACCTCTGATTAATATTGTTTAGTCAGGAAGACATAGAGGAAATCAGGAATATCGTCAAGTCATAACTTAAGATGGAAATGTGTGCTCTGAGACTCACTTCACATATATTTTAATCCCTCCCCATCCAAGAACTCCTGCTTCACACTGTTTAGAAGATAGTAAGGAAAGAGACCATCAAGATAAGGAAAGAAAAGTGCAAGATAAATAAAGGGAAAATGATTTATCATAAATGTGATTTTGTGCAAGTATTTAACGCTTTATTTTACTTTAATACACAGATCATTGACTGTTTTAAGAAGAATAAAAAAATCTATCTCAAAATCTACCTTTATATAGTCCCATTTTTAACATCATCTACTTTGAATAGTGAGAGAAATTTCCGAGTATTAAAAAACAATTAAAAAGTTTTATGATCGTGTTTTTCAGCATGTATTTTCACATAGCACGTGAGTTAAACTACAAAATCAAAGTTGGTGTTATTTTCAGAAGGCAACATCAAATGTTTGTGTCTCAGAAAAAAAATAAGGATGACATTTGTGATTCCCAAACCTGTAATAAACTCATATGGGTTTTCCAATGACATTTTCTGATATCCTCAAAAGCTAGAAATGTAAAACTGACATGCATAGCTTTCCTAAAAATTCAGTGTATGACATTAATTTTTAGCACAGAGGAGAAGAGTTCTCTTATCCTATTCATTGATTAGGGATATTAGGACACTGGAGCCCTTCAATAAGTCACAAGAATGCCTGGTTTGCTTTTTCAAATGTTGGCATCATAGAATCACCAAATGGCCTGGGTTGGAAGGAACCTTAAAGATCATCCATTTCCAACGCCCCTGCCACAGGCAGGGACACCTTCCACTATCCCAGGTTGCTCAGAGCCCCATCCAACCCACCTTTGGGCACTTCCAGGAATGGGGCAGCCACAGCTTCTCTGGGCAACCTGTGCCAGGGCCTCCCCACCCTCCCAGGGAAGAATTTCTTCCTGATATCCAATCTAAACCCGCTCTCTGGCAGTTTGAAGCCATTCCTCCTTGTCCTTGAAAAGGACCTTTACAGGCCCTTGGAAATAGTCTCTCTCTATCTTTCTTGTGGGTTCCCTTCATGTACTGGAAGGCCACCATTAGGTCACCCCAAAGGCTTCTCTTCTCCAGGCTGAACAATCCCAACTCTCTCAGCCTTTCCTCACAGCAGAGCTGCTCCAGCCCTCTGATCATCTCAGTGCCTCCTCTGGACTCACTCCAGCAGCTCCATGTCCTTGCTGTGCTGGGCCCCCAGAGCTGGAGGCAGCACTGCAGGGGGGTCTCCCCAGAGCAGGGCAGAGGAGTAGAATCCCCCCCCCGGCCCTGCTTTTGATATAAGAGTGTACTTCCTTGAAAAAACCAGCAGCCCTGGAGATTGTTCCCTGGGAAGCATCCATTCCAGTGATCATCATCCATAATGTTACCTGTAATTAGCCAGTGTGCTGCCAAGCTTCACACATAACAATCCCAGATGAATTGCAGGTGTTTGTCCTGCAGGAAACTGGAATAGAACCACAGAACCAGGCCTTTCACTTTTCCCTGTCATGGAAAACATGGCCTTGTACACTGAACGTACTGGCAGGATGGTCCCTCTCTAGGCAGGATTCTAACCTGCATCTCCACCACAGGCACAACACCCTGATAAAATAAATCTTCAAAAATCAAAAACTTCAATTAACTCCAACAAGAGCTTAAAGACAAGAGGAGAAAAACAGCCTTTCCTCCTTCTTGAAGACACTTTTGGGAGGGAGAGGTATGGGAATTCAGGAGAGAAAATGAGATTAGGAAGAAGCATGAGAAAGGATTTATCACATGAGATAAAACAGCAGGAAATTTAAAAGGAATGGAAAATGAGGACAAAAAATTATGTGGGTTGACAAAGTTTTACATGGGCCTTAAACTTGGAAGGCAAAATACTGCTTGTAAGGCAAGAGCATTAGAAGGGAACAAAAAAAAAAGTGATGTTTGCTTAGAGAAGATACTTGCAGTGTGTGACTTGTGTTCCACCAAAAAATATTCTTTATAGTGATACAAATACTCATAACTCTCCATGTAAAGGTGGCTATGCATGTACAATCCCATAACAGAATATTAAGCTATTTGGCGTGTAAACATTAGCAGTAACGTCATCAATCTCAAATCACCTAACAAAGTGATTTGAACGAAAAGAAATGTTAAACAAGCATCAAAACATACATTTAAGAATTCAAAAAGAATAAAACCATAGTACCCATTTCTCAGATCTCTTCCAACAAAGATTTACGAGTGAACAAAATTTGCCAGTATAAATCCCACTTATTTAAACCTGATAGTTCTACCACCGGTACCCAGACTTGTCTATTTGATTAGGCTTCAAAATCCCAGTCTCATGTAACAATTAAATGTGAAAAACCTTAAATTAGTTGAACGAGAAATGACTTGGAAGTTTGTGAATAAAATTTAAACGTATTCTGAGATTCAAAGGGGTGTTAAATGTCGACATGATGTGAACTGGACACTCTGTTATGTCATAACTACTCTCCCATCCTAAGACCACAACAGTTCCTTTACACTGCCGGGTTCTCCCCAGGTAAATCTGAACCTCTTGTACATGTTTACACATTTCTGTGGCTCTTTTGGGTTTTGATGCAAATGTAACAGATCACGGGTGCAAATTTTTGCTCAATCTATATGTGCACTCTCAAAAGTCTTCCTATGAGAAGACTTCCAGATTTCATGAGATTCACTGCTTTTTAACGCTCAGAAAGAGATATCAAGCCAGTAAATGATATGTTCATTTCAATAACACAAAACATTTTCCTAAAATTAATTTTACTTGCTTTTAAGGCATAGCATTTAATAACTGTAATTCTGTGCAATAAACTCCTCATTCACAATGGAGTAGATTTCTCCAGATTATTACATCAGTTTACACAGATGCTTTTGTATTTAATACATGCTTGCATTAAAAGTTAATTGATATGGTCAGAACAGTCAAATGGTCTTAAAACACTTTTGGAAATGGTGGAGTGCTTCAAGTGGACTTTCAATGCATTTAGATCTGATAAATCCCAAGAAAATGGAAAAAAAAATATTATCCTTTGTATTTTTAGCTGAACTGTTGCTAACAGTACTTAAAAGGTAACTGTAAACTGCAATGTAAACACCTTCAGGGTGCTATTAGAATATTAGCTTTTTCTTTCTTTTAAACTTTTATACTAATGGTCATTATTATTTTGGTTCAAGAGCTGTACTTAAGTCAAACCAAGATCCTATTGATAGCAAAACAGGTTTTGCTGTTCAGATACTCAACAGCAATTGATGTGATTTCAAACACTTGCTATGCAGTGTATTTTTACTCAAGTCATGGTAAGTGAACCAATTTACACCTATTATATATATAGAATATAGTATTTCTGGATATTATATAATTCCTCATAGCTAGTTTTTTATTTTTTAGATAAGATTTACATCAAATAAAAATAGGGGTGGACAACAGATGTTTGTGTCTATCACCAAAGAACTATCAAAAAATTTGAATCAAAAATTCCTGCAAATGCCTTACAATTAAATCCTGCATTTTAACTACATAAATTAAAAATGACTGCATGGTTTCTCCGAGACTACAGAAAATGGCAGCTGTTAAAGGAGTAAGTATTAAGTTGATCCAAGACTTTTTCTCAGTGCTAAAAATTTTTGAGTCTCCTCTAAGCAGGTTTCAATGATACAGATGAAGAGTCCTTATTTATTTTGCATTTTTAAATAATTGTGTTTACTGGTAGGCTGAAGACTCGAGGCGAAAGATTGATTATTTTCTTTGGGGATCATATATGTTAATATTTTTTTCAAACAGAAAAGAGCTGAAACTAAGAGAAAATCATGAAGGTTTTTGCATGTGCACATCCATACCTGAGCATTAAGAAGCTTTTCACATTTGTGAGAGTGTTTTTCAATTGCTAGTATATACTGCTTTTCAATAGCTGCTTCTTGCTGCTGAACTGTAGATTGTAGCAGTGCCTGCAAAAAGAAAGCACAGAATATTCAAGAAAGATATAACTGGGATGTTTATTGGTAACTGCAGATCCACTAAGACTTGTCCATAACCAGAATGTGGAATGCTGTTATAAATTTGGAATGTGCAACTATTAAAGTACCTTTCTGTGTAACACTACCTTATTTTCAGTCAGGACTAACATTTTTTGGATCTCAGATTTCTTATACAGACTGCCTAAAAGACAGCAGCACACAGAAGATAGAGAGGGAGAGTATTTCTGTTAAATATACTCAGTTTAGTGGGACCACACAAGAAGAGAAGCATATGAAAGCTGCTGAAGAAAAAAAAAAAAAAAAGCCAGACATATTTCCCTGGCTGACAAAACTCCACATCCTCTCGGCACTGTGTAAGATCCCATGGGCCAAGCATGATCTTCACAACCACAAGTCAAGTAAAAGCAGATGGAAATTCTGAGTAACTGAAAACATAAAAGAACGCCCCCCCAGGATGTTCACACTCAAATGTGAAGCAGTGGAAGTTGAAGTGTGGAAAGTCAGAGTACCAAGACAGTAACAAAGACATGCTACGATTAGGAACTCTGCGTGTGAGCACGTGTGTGCGCACATGTGTGCATTCACACACGCCTGGCTCAACTCTGCAGAACTTCTGAAAGCAAAAAGAGAGAGACAAAAATTTAAGACACGCGAAAAACCAAGTTACTGTTTGTGAGGAATTACGCTCACGGTGCCGTTCTAACGCAGGGCTTACTTAACTCGGGCTACATAAGTCTTTTTCCCTAATATTATAAAATATCCATGCCACTTTTCAAATATTCTTCAGGCTATTTATACACAACGTAGCAAACTATTTTTAACTAGTAATCCATACAGAGAAGTAGTCAAAATGACTGTGTAAGTTAAAACAGACGTAAGTTTTGCAGAAAACAGACCTTTGGCCTAAATGCAGACGAAGAAAAAAAATCCCATCTTTCAGATAGTCTTTATTTCAGAGATATATTTCATTCATGGAACACAAGACACACATTAAATAAAATTTTGAATACTTTAAAATAAAACCCAGAAATGTATAAAAAAAATTAAATTCTTCTGACAATTTTTGAACTAACTTTTCAAATTTTCCACTAACTGTCCTCTTATGCTGTTATTCAGTCCTGTTATAGTATGGCAGCAGTTTTCAGCACAAGTTCAGTGATTTAAAAGGTTAAAAATTGTGCTTAACATATGCTTTAATCAAAGTGTAAGAATACACTTACTGGTGTTTGCATGGGATTTCTCTAACCATAAGTTTACTTTCAAAAAAAGCCAATTTATTTCCAACTAAATTTATTTCTTTTATTGATAGAAATTCAAGCAATAGGAATAAACTCACTTCTCAAAGAAGTACAACTTCTATATATGAAACTTTATATACTAAATCTCACTCTGTATAAAACAGAATTGCCACATATCACCGGCACAAATTAAACTTGTACTTTGGGGTATGGGTTCTTTTTTTGCCAAAACTATTGTGGCAAGAAATGTTTCATGTAACTGGTACAAAAGAAAATAAAAAATTCTGATATTAGGTAAAACAGTAACAGAATTGTCATTAAGCTGCAATGGCATTTCTTGCTCATGCCAAGGGTTTAGTCACTTTCTGCACTTTGCTCTGTAAACTTTACTGGCAACTGTTAAAATCCTATTAAATGGCATAAAGAACTTTCAGTTTTCAAGGAAATAATTATTATTCATTGGATGGCATGTAGAGGTTGTTAAATTTTTAAATTTATTTTATTATTACTATTTTTCTTTTTAGAAACAAAAGCCTTCTTTTTTATCATACACAACTAGTAACACAGTTTAAATAGGACCACAGGACCGATCCTTTGACTATTCCACTTGTTGGCCAAGTAAGGAGAAGGAGAGGAAACTCCTCCTATGTAGCACAGTACTTCCAAGAATCAGGTTTCTTGATGAGAAATACAGAAGAGGGGCAAGATATCCATCCAAAGCCTTGGAAAATTTCAAGATAATCAACTACTCAAATTACTAATTAAAAAAAATAATTTAGTGATTTACTCACTAAACTAAAACATACATTTGGCTACTCGATGATAGGCATCTCTAACTTTCTTCAGTACAGTGACACTAAAATCTTGTCATTAATTGCTATTTTGGGCAACAATTCTTATCAATGCTGAAGAACCACTTTCTTCCTTAATTAATTACATGATTACCCTGGTGGGCTAATGTTCCACAAACCTATGGCCAGTGACCTGATATCAAGCTGGCATTCTTGAAGCAGGCTCCTTTTAATGGCTCACTGAATCATTTCAATAAGGTTACAGCAGAATGTAGCCCATGGCACCTGTTGCATGAAGTTAAAAGGTAGGATTTCAATATGGGTGCTCTTGTTAATTAATTAATCCTTCTCTGTATCGTGCAATGAACATCCTTGGCACTGGGTGGCAAGGGTCATCACAGAATCACAGAATCATGGAATGTTAAGGGTTGGAAAGGACCTTAAAGATCATCTCATTCCAATCCCCTGACATGGGCAGGGACACCTTCCACTAGACCAGGTTTTTCAGAGCCCAATCCAACCTGGTCTTGCACACTTCCACAGATGGGGAAGTCATAATATGCTCCTCCCATCTTAACAGGACTAAAGCCTATTGAATTTAACAAAAAGGAAAAATTAGGAGCCTTCATACTGCCTCAGTCCTGACTTTCACAAAGCTCTCAAACCATTACAGATGAAGCCAAACTAAAATTTCCGAGATTCGTTGATTATAGTTCTTATTCTAATATCCATATCCACATTCTACAATATTTGAATTGTAGAATGTGTTAGAACCTTGTAGATCCTTGCAGGAGGAGAGGGAGGTAGAACATGTTCTAGTGTCTGTAAACAATATGTTTTAGCTGTATGACAAAGTAATCTAAATGCTAGAATTTATTTGGGAGAAGTTCTATGTTCTACTTGCTATTTTGCCACTTGGAAATTATTCATATTCCCAATGCACATTATACTCCATCACCAAACTGTCTTAAGTTTTCTGTTGATTGTTTCTGACATATTCATGACCAACTCTGAGGAGGTTTTTAAAGAACAAATTCACATTGTCAACGGGAAAGCTAAGTAGTAACACATGGATGCTCACATTTAACAGGAACAGTGTGGCTGCTCCCAGAGAATGGCCCAAATAACAGGACTTGTAGGACAACAATGACAGCAAATCAAGTCATCTTCTACAGTTGCGACTATCAGAAACATTTTTAACCACTCAAGAAATCCTGCTTCTTCCCCACTCTCTGATCTCTCTCCTAACCCAAAAAAGCTATCAGAGAATTGATCCTGCTTTTCCTTCGATACTCAAAAATGCCTGGTGGCTTCTCACAGAACAAAGAGACTGAAACAACTTAAGAATAAGTTCTCTACAGAGTCTTCATATTCATTTTAGTTTCATTTGTGATGGGTTATGAAAATTACAGAAACCATTATTTCCTCAATTTTAGAAAAATCTTCCCAGATTTAAATGACAGTACAAAATATTTTTAAATTAAACCATGTAAACTAAGTAAATTAGTCTGAACCTATTTGAGCTCAGATAAAGAACTAACCTTAGCTTTAAGTTTCATACCATAGAATAATTTTAGAAGACCCTGAATTGAAACTAGATCCAGCCATCATAATAAGATCCATAATCACCTTGGGGCATCCTCAAGGGAATAAACATCTTTTAATTACATGCTTTAGCAAAGATCAGAGAATTAAGTAGCCCTGGAATGTAATTCACAGCACACTACCTGTATGGTGGGAATACTGGAGAACTGCATCCCTGCCTGCAGACCAGAGACTAAAACATTGTACTGTACCCAATATGAGACCAAAAGTTCAAATATTAGAAAAGACAACTGATCACAAAAATTTATCCCATATTTCTACAGGTTGTGTTATGTATCGGGTACTAGATCATCTCCAAAAATTGTTCTCATACTTGAAAAAGCAGAAGTGCAATGACTGTGGTTTTGCTGAAACCATGGCACAGACCCTCCAGCCCACTTTTAATACAACCCTATTTGCACAGCCCTAGTGCATACTGTCTTCATTCTACTGGGAATTGAAACCACAGCTACTTACCCAAAGTTTGTTGTATGGCCAGAAGCTACAATTTATGAGAATCCTTCTTGAATTAAATAGCCAAAATAGAGATCGTTACCCCCAATTCTTCCCAAATTCCCTAAGAGCAACAAATTACCAAATCTCTTTCTTTCAACTCCCTCTTCTTGTTGGAGAAAAAAGCTAATGAGGAAAAAAAGTCAAGAAGAAAACAAAAGTAGATTTTATTACCCCCTCTTATCTGTTCTGAAAAACAGTATAAAAGTAACTCTGACCCATGCAAAACACAGGCCTCCCAGATGCACAGCATTGTTTGAAAAACCCACACGTAACATCAGCATGAAACCAGCATTGTGATGTACATGCCACTGGATTATGTTCTAGAATGCTACTTAAAAGCACTGCATCAAAACCCTTAGTCAACCCAAAAGAATATCCTGCTCAAGTATCATTAAGTTGCTTAAATAACTAAATACAAGCCAGTATACCCAACATCTTCTTTACTTCAAAACTGCTGAGTTAGGGTGACCAAAACTAGTTGTCTTTAAAAATAAAATTACTAATGAGAAGTAAAGTTACCATACTGCGTCAAACATATGAACTATTTTAAATGTCAGCATTAGCTTCAGCAATAGAACATAAGAATTTTTATGCTTCATAGCATTAGACAATGAGTCATCTAATTCAGCAACCTGTCTCCACCAGTAATTACCTTCTACTACTTTATTTAAGGGTGAAATGCAGTTAACCACTTATTGAATGAGAAAACAGAGCAGAGGACACAACTGAAATTCTTTCCTGACCTGCAGAAACGATACATTACCTCAATAAAAAATCTACACTTAACTAGTTGTGTTATAATTCAGCTATGAGCTAGGATACAGACTACATAAATAAAACT